ATAATAATAATAATAGTGCATATCAAATCTCAGCAATGCTGTCATGGATTGAAAATGAGTGCATTCTGTATGAGATTGCACCCTCTTGTGGTAAAAAGTACAATCAGTCATGTAGCTCAATTTGTCTAAACAAAAGCATTCCATTGAATTCTGTGCTGTGCTTGAGCTCAAGCAGGGGTGAAACTAAAGACTTTGTAAGAGAGCAATCAAAGAATGCAAATGAAACAGGATTTTTATTTTGACTGAGTGTTCCAAAAAACTGGTGTATTTCTATACTTTTTTTCCCCCAGAGGTCTGCTTTGCAACTGATAGCCAAGTGCAAAGAATAGTAGAAATTATTGAATTACATAATTCCTGTTATTGAAGGGCTAATTTATGGCATCAGCCTGGCATACAGGTTCCTGCGCTCTAAAACTTTCTTAGATGAAAACTCTACACAAAGAAATCTACAGGACAGGCAAATATATTTCAGAGCATGATTTTAGTTGCTAGGTTACTTTCCTAGACTGTCATTCTACCTCCTAAACAATAAAGGAAAGCACCAGAAGTAGTAATTACCATATTACTTTTTTTTTTCCAACCGACTTGAGTTATACACGATTTTTGATAAGTGACATTTTTTGCACTTTACTTGCACTATAGTTTTGTTAATACTTTTCCATAACGGTTTTAAATAGGCACCTGTTTTCTACAATTCATTCACATCATAATTACAGCTAAATATACAAGGAAAATGTATATGTGCTAACTTTTGTAATTATACCTACCATATAGCCAACTGAAGGATACCTGTACTGCAGGCTTCCATTGCTTTGCCTCTCCTATAAATCATTTTCTGATCGTCATATTTTATCTAATGGTTTTAATACCTGGCACATATATGCTGAACAGAAATTCTGACTTAACTGGCTGCAGGGTTGTTCCAGGTCAGTGATTCAAAAAGCAGTGAAGTCAGACAACTAGCATTTTCATTAGGTCAGCAGTGGTAATGCCAATAGAGCTGCAGTTCTTGAACTCCATGTGTTTTGTGGAGAGCTAGATCAGGATTTTATATCCGTTTATATATTAAGAGGCTGGTCTCTAAGATTGAATAGGTCTGAAAAGGAGGTTAATGGAATGATAGCAGTAAGTGTAGTAGAATGACGGCAATGACGGTTTAATAGTCCAGTAAAAAATGTATTATCATTAAAAAATGTTTTTTATTTATTCATAATTTTTATACATTTCCATTTTTATACTTTACCAATGCCCTTTTATCTGGGCTTATGCAGTTGAGGTTTGGAAGAAATCTAGACAGAGAATGGGTATCTTAAATCAGGGCTTGACAAATCACAGGTGCCAGGTCGCCATGTCAACTAAAAATGGCATCCTGGCGCCTGGGCTTTTAAAAAGAAAGCAAACAACCTGGGTCCTAACTTTTTTTTGCTGGCTACTAGATTAACAGAAAATGTGCTAAGCCCTGTCTTAAATAATATTCCTCTAGCATAAATTTAGGCAAGGTTTCAAGAAAGTTTCTCATTCATTGAATGTGCCTTGGAATACAGTTAAATCAATAATTAAAGAAGGACTCTGGGCAAATACAAACTCCCGTACCTGTCCATACCAAGATACAGACAGTCAGTAACATGGAGAGAGAATGAATGAACTACACGTTAAGTGACTGTCACCGCACTTATATTCTATGGAGAACTACATGTCCTTCTGCTGTGGTGGCTGAAGGGAGTTGTACTTTCTCTATTCACATTTTAGGTAATGGGCGGGGATGACCATGTTTCATGTTGCGATCTGAATATGGGTGTAACGTGAAACATGGTCCATAAGGTAAACATCGCCTTTTGCTTCTGTTTTTACCCCTTTATGACCAGTGACGTACGTACATTGGGCCCGTTTAAACAGAAAAGCTGCCGGGACTCTGTTTACCTTTGAAAAGACGACTGTCGGCTTTACAGTAGAAGCGATTCTGGTGGTTCAGCTGATGCCAGATTGCTTCTATAGGCCGGTAAATAGGCCCCACCCCTGCCCTGTTTCCCCGGCTCCGCTGCCCCTCCCCGTACTATGGGACCAGGAGCGATGCAGATTACATCACTTCCGGTCCCATAGCTGTCATTGTTGGGCTCTTCAATAGCTTATTTCAAGTGAAAATGTGATACTAGGGGTCTTTTGGACCCCCAGTATTACTTTTAAAGAGTACCTGTCACTGCCAATATGCTATCACATGGGGGTTTGTAAGCCCCCCTATGTGATAGCAATTAAAGTGAAAAAAAGTTTTTAAAATGTAATAAATTAATTGTAAAAAAAATTTAAAGGCCCTCTCGAGCATGCACGTCTTCACGTAAACGTACATCGTTTGCACCTACGTATGAAAATGACGATTGCGCTACACATGTTTGGCATCGCCGCACACGCCGGAGTGAAACTATAATTCTAGGGCCAATATTTGCACATATCTCTAAACTGATGGCCTGTGGGGGCTTTTAAAGCATTGTCTATGGACTTTTTGGAGTACTGAATCTTGTCGCAGTTTCAAGGACGCACACAATTTTTAACCTGGGTATGTTGGGTATCTATTTACTCGTAACCTCATCTTTTTATATTTTATAAAAAAAGAAGAGTATTGTGTTTTGGAGCATTTAAGTGCATTTTTCACTAAATTTTGGGCACTAATATCAAGCAACATAAAAATTTGTGACTGCCACCATTTTATTCTATAGGGTCTTGGCTTTCAGAAAATATATAATGTTTGGGGGTTTTAATCAATTTACAGGCCTAAAATGTGGATTATAACATGTAAACAAAAAAATGAAAAAAAAGGCCTCGGTCATGAAGGGGTTAAAGTAAATCGGAGGGGGCGCCACAGACCACAGCATGCAGTGAGCTCCCAGCGGGGAGGACGGTAGTGGGTGGTTTGGTGGAGCTCTCCTCACCGCTTGGCACCATCTGCAGGGTTCTGTGTCTGGAGCATCGGGGATCGGAGGGGACACAGAGCCACTGAAACACCAGCCCCCAGCACAGAGGAGAGAACTAGGGCACCCAAACCAACTAATCAGTAATCAGAATAGTTGACAACTATTTTTATTATCAATTAATCGGTTGAATTAGTTGAATTAGTTGAATTAGTTCACTGCACATGCAGCTAGAGAGATCAGTGATGGCTTATTTATAGCTATTCACTGCCTGGCAAGGATATGTAAAGACGTTGATGTGCATAGTCTGGGCACAAGTGCATTTTAAAACTACACTGTCTGTAATTATGTTGGAATGCATTGTGTTTGGGATGCATCAAAAGCATTTTGTTGTTAATTTAGAGTTTACTTTATGGCATTTGATTAAGAGTAATGAAAAGTGTGTTAAAACCAGTGCTATGAAAAAACAAGTGAGTTACTGGTCTAGTTACTGTATTAACTTAAATGATGTATTGCACTAGTACAGCACTCTACACTACATTTAGCAGAGGAATCATGCACTCCAAATAAACAATCTGCTTACCATTTCTTATTCCATAAAGTGATCAACTTTGTTGTATAAACCTTTTGAAGGTTTGTAATATTTTACTTTGTTTAGGAATACATTCTACAACAATTGTATTTTAGCTATTTACACGTTAGGTAGTCTGACTTGAAAGATTTTTAAATACTGTGTAGCTTACCATATGCCAGCATGTGCTCAGTTATCCCTCTTGGTGAACAGTGTGCTGTTGATCATGCTAATTTATATAGCTCTAATATAGTTTGCACTAGTTTACAGAGAGCTTTTAAAGCATACTATCATGAGAAAAACATGGAGTTTGCTATTGCTGACCTTTCCTTCTTAAAATGCTAGTTCCATCATTTTTCTGCTGACCCTCTGGCTTCAGTGCTGTAAATCACTTACCCAATGTAAGTTTACAGGTCAGGACTTCTGACTTTCCTGCTTGGCATGCTTGTCCTGATTTATTGACTCAACAAGTATTAAAGCCAGTGGAATTGCATATTACCCAGACAAATGTAATTTTAAAAATAGGTAGTCTGCACATCTGTCCCTGCATCTATATTACAAATACACAGACTTTAGGAAAGCTTTATGTAAAAGCTAATTAACTCACTAAATATTTTTGGGTTGTGGTTGAATGCCTAGGCGCCAGACAAAAGTGATACAAAAACAGAGAGAACGTAGAGATTCTACATGTCTACACTGCGACCCGTGATTGCGCCGCGACCCGTGATTGCCGTGATGGCGCCGCGACCCACTGCAGAAGGGCTCGCGACCCACTTTTGGGTCGCGGACCCATGAGTTGAGAACCACTGATGTAGATGGTCTCCTCTGTGGAGTTAAGCCATAGCTCTAGAAAGCATGTTCAGAAATCTTTTCTTTGTCTGTCTAGACCAGTAGTGGCTAACTTAGTTGATATAGGGAGCCTTAAGTGGACTCCCTGATTTCACCAAAGAGCTTCACATAATATTTGAATAAATGTAATGCTACAGTAAACTGTCAGACTGAAGACGTCCAAAAGTAGATGGTCAAGGACTGCAAACTGACTGAGCACAGCAAGTGCTAAGGGCCACAGATTAGGCACCATGGGTTTAGACCCTGTTCAAGTTCCAAATTTGACATGAGTTTGGCAATCGGTCGTCCATGATGAATTTAACTAGACTTTTGACTAACTGACATTTGCATGGGCCATATTGGGTTGATCATCCATTTTTAGTTCTTGTATATAAAACAGTTGCATTTTTTTACTTAATAAAGAAAATATCACTTTGTTTTTCCTAATGCAAAATACTTGAGGTGTTTGTATGGATATTCCAAATCTTTATAGATTTAGCAAATTAGTGACTTGCATCAGTTGGCTACCCATTCAGTCCTGCGCTGCAAAATTACCAGACCAAAGACATTCTCCTAACGTTGTAGTTAATTTTGTAGTTTTCATCAAACTTTATAAAAATAAATGGTTATCCTTTAGGTATTATTATTCTTTAGGTATTATCTTATTATACTAACTTGTTTTCCCTCTCTATTTGCAGGCTGAAGGAGAAGACAGTTTAAAAAAGATGCAGTTGATGGAACTGGCCATCCTAAATGGCACCTACAGGGACGCTAACTTAAAATCACGTAAGCAGCTATTTTTTTCTTTCTGTTTTTTTGTTGATAAAATAGAATGATTGTGAAAAACATTCACAATGTAAGCACGCAGAAAACAGTTTCTAACAAAATACCGGTTTGCATTAACAAGCAAAATTAACAAGCAAAATTGTCAAATTTCATTTGACTATATAGTTGTTAAGGTGTTGAGACAGAAGAGTTGCTGCATAAAATAAAACAAAATACACTTTTGTATTTGTCTGGAGTTTTGCTTTATAGGAGCTGCAATTTATATTTATTTTTTTGAGGAGCATCAGCTCTTTTAACACCGGTCAACATTCAGTTTGCTGAACATGCTTAACTGTTAATTTTTTTTAATGTTTTGGGAATGTTCATATAAAGCACAATCTGCTCTATTCACTTAAAAGTGCTAAGTGCACAATGCAGTTGCCCAGCAACCAGTCACAACGAACGCCTTTTTATTTGGGACTTTGGTTTCTGCACTATTAATTGAATAATTTCCGTACATGTTTGGCATCATTTTTTTTGTTTGACATTCAGTGCTGACTTCCATCTCCTATTCTACTTTTTGTTCCAAAGTTAAGCATGCTCTGTTTACTGCTTAGATATTTAGTATTTCGATGATGCTGGGCTGGTCTAGTGCTTGGTTTTTGTGCATGCTGCTACTGTGTAGATTGATGTAAAAAAAACAAAAAACTGAATAGCATCAATTTGTATGCCCTGGAAATTGCTACAGCTTTGACAACTCACCCGAAATGCATTATATCCAAACTAATACTTTGCAAATAGCATATGCTCTAAGAAATCTGCTTCATATATGCTAGCTTCTTCCTGGTGATAGCATTGTTAAAGAACAACTCCATGATTTATTAACCCTTGCAGTGGGCCTTACCCCAAGGGTTAACTGCTCATTTGGGTCTAGGTGCTAAAATAACCATTATACTCACCCGAAGCTCCGAGAGACGGTCAGCTGTCACTGTGCTCCCTTTAGCCTGTCTCCCCCTCCATGCAGCATTGTAATGTTCCTCAGTGTCCATACACTGTGTATAGATGTTGATGATTTACGGGACTTAGGAGCGTTGGAAGGATTGGTCTAAGAAGCCAACTCAGAGCTTTGGGCGAGTATTTCTTTGGGGGTTTTTTTAACCTAGACACAAACGAGCAGTTAACCCTTGCAATGCGAGGGTAGCCTTACTGTATGGGTTAATAACAAAAATTCTGGTTTTCTTTAACATCTCAAGGTATTACTGCTAACAAATGAGCAAAGTATGATGCCTTTTAAAGTGTTAAACAATACAATTTAACCCTGCAGATTTTTTTTCTACAGCACTGTGTTGCTCTTCTAATGCTAAATTATAGACATTGTCCTTATAAAGGACATTTATTATCATTAAAGATAACTTGCACTACACAATGGAATGTAACCCTCTATAACTTTACTACATTTTGTAAAGTTGTTCTTCCATTTTAACAATATCACACATACTTATTCTTTTTCTTGTCACTGTTGAACTTTTCTCTTACCTTTTTGAATTCTTTATGGCAAAATCACTGGCTTTTCTAACAATTTTTCACAGTGACACTTCTGTTTGCAGTGTTATTTAAGTACTGATTTTCAATAATCAGTGCAATTTTTAGGGTACCTTGCTGCAAGGTATTTGCCCTTGATAGAAGCATGTTTGCATTTAATCACGCTGGTGATATGGGATAGCTTGTTTGCATTTGAATGGTGTGCTTTGGCACTTTGTGTGATCAGCGCATGAACTAATGATTTTCCTTTTTTCCCCCTTTTCTTCCTGCTTATTTTCTATTCCTCATCTTTTCTTTTTACCTATCTCCTACCCTACCTTTTTGTACTGCTACTTCTACTATTCCTAATTTTTCTTTGCTTACTGTAGCAGCCCTTGCCTTTTCTCTTGCAGCAACAGCTCAGGCCCCACGGATTATAACTGGGCCTGCGCCTGTTCTGCCACCAGCTGCTCTGCGTACACCTACGCCAGCTGGCCCTACCTTAATGCCTTTGATCAGACAAATACAGACAGCGGCTGTGATGCCAAATGGAAGCCCTCATCCTACGGCAACACTAGTCCAACAAGGACCAGAGACTGGCTTGATCTACACACCATATGATTATCCTTATACCTTGGGTCCAGCTACATCAATTCTCGAGTATCCTATTGATGCAAGTGGGGTATTAGGTAAGATCTTGTGACTTTGTACTACTTTTACTGTTTTTGCTGACAACATATTTTATATTTATATTGTCTTGTCTTTTACAGAAGCTTTGTTTTATTTTTTTTAAGAAGAAATATTTGTAACTTGGCAAATAATCTTTTCAATAGAAATTGAAAAATTAAGATAGTTTTAGCCTACCAAATTATTATTACTGAAATACACTGGTTACTTAAACTATTTATAAATGGTACTCAAATATAATTTTGTCCAGTTACCTTTAACTGGACAAACTGTAAGGAGCACATACTTTGAATTTAGCAAATTATCTTTTTAATGAGAATTGTAAGAGAAGTCAGGATCGTTTGTAGCTTATCAAACTAAAAAGACACTAAGCCTAAAATACATATTGTTACATAAACGATTTTTATAAATGGTACTTGAATATAATGTTGTCCAGTTAGCGTTAAATCGGTCCTTCACTTTTTCACTAAAAATCACATCAGCATGCAGCTCTGCATGTTGATATGAAATAATCTTGCATTTGTTAGTTAAACAAACCTATTTTTCTTTTACTTACAATCATTGTGTTTCTAATTCCTGGTCTTCTTGGGCATTAGTGATGTGCCCAACCGTTCCATCCCGGGAAGGTTACATCAGCAGAGCATTGCTGGGAAATCTCACAAGATCCCAGGGAAAGGCATTTTTCTCCCGGGATGATGTGCATGTTCACATGTCCTAGTAACAAATAGGCAAACACTAGACTTCACCTCCATCAACTATTTGGGCTTAAGATATTTTTGTTACAGACCCTTGCGTAATACACAAAGGAGTACAGGTTGGCTAAAGGGAGAGGACAGTAAATAAAACGTGCTGTGCTACTTTGGCTGATTTAAACCTCAGATTGAGCTATCTAATAAGGGAAGAGTCTCTGCTGTGATGACTTGTTTCTTTGAAAGAACTATGGGGTGAGTGAAATACACTAATTCCCATAGCTAGAGCCGACGTGTGACATTGAAACTGTCACATGTCAGATCTATTGATCGGGAATTGATCGAAAACATACCGCTGATCCACTAACTTCCCGATCATCTCTCTGCAAAGAGCGGTGACTGACAGTTACCTCTCCCTGCATGGATTCCCCTCTCTCCTCTCCAATCCGCCAGTACTGACTCTAGAATAATTGTAGAGAGGCAGAGCCAGCTGTCAATCAGCCAACTGGGTGGATCTTAACAATATTATCAGGATCTGTCCCGACTGCAGAGCTCTCAGCATATAGCGGGCAATAGCCGGCTATATGCTGAGTTTTGGGTCACGGAAGGACAAGGTATATGTCCTCCTGTGAGCCTAAGCAGAACTATGGGTAAAAAAATATTGCCCCATAGTTTTCGTTTAACTATTTTCTTTGCCCCCTGTAGAATAAAATACTGGAAGTTCCATTTTTTTCACATCATATTAGCACTGTTTATTCAAATTCATGTTAGTCCACAAAGACAAAATATAATATCCAATTTTTGTTTGCATATAGAAGATGAGGTTGTGTAGTGTAAATAGATACAAAAATGTCAAGCCTAAACATTACACATAAAACTGTGAAATCAACTGTGAAATTGTTTATAGGTGATGCTTTAAAAGCCTTTTTAGGTCATCAGTTTAGAATGATGCTCCTAGAATTATTACTTATTGCAGCATGTGCAGCGATACCTAGTATGTGGGATGCAATTTTCACCTTCGTGCACGCGTTTGCATTCAGGAGGAACTTTTTGCAGCATATGGAAGTGATTGGGTGGCTTTACAGTCTTGACATAAATCTGTGGCACCGAAAGGGTTAATCGCTGAAATACGTGAATAAGTAAGAGACTAGAGTGCCATTAGCTGACTTTTTTTTCCCTACACTTCCCATGATATGGTCTAAAGGCTATTAGGGATCAGATTGTTTACGTTTTTATGATATATCAGTATCTTGATCAGTATGAGGGCAAATATTCCATAGGGTATTTAAGGGCCAGTGTCCCTAACCAAAACGGCAGCTTGTGCTTGTGTTTAGCTATAACAAATTTAAACATATCCATTACTGGTGACATTTACAGTTTATATTTTAAAGCTTAGTGATCCTTTAATATTTTTACAGTTGGCCAGTGCAGTTTGGTGAACACTTTTGATGAACTTCTATGGGGTAGATACAATTGAAGTGCATTTATGAAAACTGGTCCTCAAACAAGAACAGAAAAGTGCAATAACTCATGACAGCCAAAAGGATTTTAGTTTTGATTTACTGCAGAAGAAATGCTAAATTTTGCATAGATGTTGTGTTAAAATATAGTTAAGCATACATACTGTTTGAACTATGATTATGCATTTATAGTATTTAAATTTTTTAGCTGCAAAAGTGGATGTGTTGGTCTAAGAAGAAATACATAAAATTAGCGTACTAGAAGAAAAGCTGGTGATATCATAGACCTTTTTGTGGACAATAGAAATATGTAGTGATGGCTTCTTAGATAAAAGGGTTCAGTATTTCTTTTTAAAGATATTTATCTCATCACTGGCAGCTTAAATTTCCCTGAGAGGATACCAATATGGGACCTACCATTGGTAACTTTTTAGCTGTGCAATCAGTCATGCTGATCTTGGCTTTATGCCTAATTAGTCAGTGAACTATTGCAAGAAAAATCTTTGCTCCTGTCCTGTATGTTGGCTCTGGGTCCCTGGGCCCATAAAGTAATCTGTGCAAGATCAGCAATGATGGCTCGTTTGCAATATTTTGCCCTCTCATGGAGGATTAAAATGAGGTCCCTAGGAGTGATCAAAGTCTATGTATGCTGTAGTCCCAAAACAGTTTCTTATACCACTGACATATTCTAGAGTGCTTACATTTCACATACTATTTATATTCAAATGTGTATTTGTTTATACTTTTGGAAAAGACTGTGAAATTGTATAAATCAATAATTGAGAGTATTCTCACTGAAGGCATCATAGTCTGGAGTCTTAACTAACTTCAGGGGGTGGGCACGGGTCTCACAGATTAGGTGCACTTAACATTTTATTTTATTTAAAAAGATTTACCTACTACTGAATAATGACTATTGGCAGTATACAAATTTTAATGGGCATCATTTAACACTGTCATATTTTATATACATTCAGGCTATGTTCACACTGTTTGCAGTGACCTGTGTTTTTTTTTTTGCACAAGCCTGGTATGATGTGAGGAACAATGCAGTGCACTGGATGCCACCACAGGCCACCTGCTGCTGTTTGGAGACCTGAATGAAGTGTACACTTTGTACACTCTCAAGGTTAAAAAAAAGTAAACCGCCCCCCCCCAACCAAACAACCAACCTTGCACCTCACTGGCCCATATGCCAAAACTAAGCATTTTAGCATGCAGGCTAGTGTGAATGTAGCCTAATTATGATTACATTTTATTTTAATTACACACATGAAGTACATGCTTCAGGTACAGAACATAACTGGGATACATTTTTGGCTGAGAAGAGATTATCCTAAACGCATAACTTCCCTTCAATAAGCCGATCCAGGATACTGTCAGCATCATGTTTGGCCTGCTTTAGCCTAAAATGGCTATTAAAAAAAAGTGAGATTGCATATAGCTAAATAAAAATAGATATCATATCAAGCTTTATGCAGCCATAAAGACATTGAATCGTACATGTAAAAAGTATTAGTAACTATATTATATCATTGTAACCTTTTTAATTTCTTTGGACCTACGAAATTATGCTTCAGGGTAACTTTTATCCTTTGAGGATATCTTTTAAAATTTAATGCCTATCCAAACCCAAAGACGTAATATATTATAGCATGCCAGTCCTTAGATGTGGTGGCTGCAATTGTTTTTCATATTTTAGACTTTTTCCCTTTAACTTTATTTCCTTTGAGGATATCTTTTAAAATTTAATGCCTATCCAAACCCAAAGACGTAATATATTATAGCATGCCAGTCCTTAGATGTGGTGGCTGCAATTGTTTTTCATATTTTAGACTTTTTCCCTTTAATTTTCCCTGCCAGTAACACACTTCCTTTCCTAGGGTGACAGGAAACACTGCTTTATCTATGGAGGGGCTGCATTGTCCCCTTAGGCCAGGGGTAGCAAACCTCCGGCCCTCCTGCTGTGGTGAAACTACAAATCCCATGATGCATCTCTCTTCGGGAGTCATGTTTGTGGCTGTGAGAATCTTGCAATGCCTCATGGGATTTGTAGTTCCACCACAGCTGGAGGGCCGGAGGTTTGCTACCCCTGCCTTAGGCTGCTCTCCTCCTGATTTAGACTACAACCACCTTCTCTTCTCATTTACATTACATAGGGGGGAAAGTATCTCTAGTTCTTTGAATATAGCTGGGAAAGCTGATTTACATTGTTTTGAAATTTCAGTTCACTGCACCAGAAGTTACAAGGACTCTTTCTGGCAGGATCAACAGGATTTTTTCTATACTTGCAGAAAATTTATTTAGCCTAAAAAAAACCACACTAATGCAACCACCACATTTAAGAACTGGTAAGCTGCCATAAATAACCTTTTTTGTTCTTGGGTTGAGATACTTTTAAGATTTTAACATTTGTACCTGTTTCCCTATTGTTACAAGATGAATTCAGCAGACAGATAACTCATTTGTAATTTCCTTCCTTTTATCTTCAGGTATGGCTTTCCCAACGAAAGGCTAAGAATTCAAGAAAATCTCAAATGACCCTTCATTGATCACATGATTTTAATTTTAGCAGTTGCCTAGTTTCATCAGTCTTGAAAAAAGAATATAAGTGAAACTTTGCCTAGCAGTCAGTGACTTACTTGCACTTATTTTTTTTTATTTTGCACATAGATAAAATAAATATTTTATGTTGATCAATATTTGATTTAGTCTATACATTTAAGTAGCAGTGAGTGAGTGTATAGTAGAATACTGACTGCTAAGTTTCCTCTTTTGCACGCTTTACTAATCACTTAATTCATGTGTTCCTACTTCTTGACTTTAGATATTAAGATTCAAATAATTTAAACATAAAACTGGATTCTTTTTATTATAACTGATGTCAGTATTAAAGTATAATTAAACTGCTCATCGGCTGCAGGTAAAGCACTTCAGAGATTATGTGAATAGTAAAGCTTGTTTTTTCTTGGGTCTAACAGATTTCAAAAGTTACTGCTATTCAGTAGTAAATGAATGCATTATGATGCCCTTTAGTGTCACAGTTGCTTGCACATACCAGCTGAACTCACAGGGCGGAACAGGTTAAGGCCAGATATACAACATTAAATGCAATATTAATCGGAGCACGTATCATTCACATACTGTAGCAAAGACTCCAAACTACTGTGCCTTAACTTGTTGCTTTCTATGCCTAAATGTTTTTGCAGCGAATCTCTATGTAAAACCTAGTTTGATGAAACCAGCTTTTAATGTTGTGTGTTCTATTAAATGTTCTGTTTTCTAACTTTGTCTTGGTAATTACAATTTAACTAGGTGCGATGGCAAGTAAAGCGCGAAGGCATGATATGCGGGTCCATCCTTACCAAAGGATTGTGACCGCAGACAGAGGTTAGTTTAGCTGTGTAGTTTTTGCTTTGACAAAATGCTATTTCAGTAAGTTAACTTTACAACACCACACATAATTTGCACCCCAACTACACCGAGCAGATACTGAGGGGTGGGGTTTTGTAGCATATTTGTTTCATTTGTTTATGTTCTTGGTGACTACACAGCATGTGCCTATACAAAAATAGAAGATACTGCTAACTGTTGGTATGCAGGATTTAGTATGGTGTTGCAAAGCAATGATGGTGGCTTAACTATAAAGGTAGTTGATGCATTTGATGGGCTGAAGAAAAGAGAAACTTCATTTCTGAAATCCATGCCTACCAAGTAGTCTTGCAGGTGCCTAAAGGGAATGGCTCAAAATTCAACATAAGAGGAAGACCACTTGAGGACTTTGAAGTTCTAAAGTTTAAAGTGAGCTTATCCTAAAATTTAAAAAAAAGTAGCATGTCGGCTACATGTGAACACCTGGGACAAGATGCTTGCCTGATGTATTCTGAGATTACTAGTGCAGTCTTAGAAATGAAGAGGTGACTCATATAGCCAATAAATACTCTGAAGTCTCAAGAGCTTTACTTGTGCCAGTAAGGCATAACTTTAGATGTATGAGGATTCATTTAAAATATTTTTTTTTGTTTTGGATAGGTCAACTTAAAACATTGAACTTTTTCCTAAATGCTTTGCACAGGTAATACTTTTACCTCTGTTTTTAAATTTGCTGATCACAAGGTTCTAAGTTATTACCCAGTGCAACTAGAGCAATATGAAAACAATTTGCTTTCTTACCTTGAAAGCTCATATAACAAAATAACACAGAAAGGCAACACTATAGTTGTAAAATAAAATAATCTAGAACATCTATACAAGAAATTGGTTGGCTAATTATGTCCTAAGGGATTGTTTATTGAAGAGCTTATTGATGGAAGAATTGTTTGTGTCCAGCTTTTTCGGTTCTGAAGTGTTTTTTAAATTCAGCCCTATGCAAAAACTGCTTTTATGATTAAGCATTCTTGATTATTGAAGAGCAGCCAGGTGAATGGTTTCTTATTATATGTATGTTACACTATTCGGTTTTATTGTTGTAACAAACCGACTGAAATACATGTTATAATCTGTAAATTATGTTGCACAGTTATTAAACCTGTGTGTACTGTGTATAGCCAGGGACTTTGCAGAGGATATATTGCAGGTATGCCAGTACATTTTACCACCTGATCTTGCAGTAATACTGCATGTATGTAACCTTGTAACAACATTGAATTGATCTTTTAATCCAGTTACAAATAGTACATTTAATTAATGTACAGTACAATATATAGTTATACACGTCATTTGACTGTATAAAGGCATTCTGGTAGTAATAAACCACGTTGTATATTTATTTAGGTTCTTTATTTCTGCTTAATCATGAGCAAAACATTCAACAAGTCCAAGTTCATAATAAGTTAACTCAAGGGAATAAAAGTTATTTAATTGTTCCAACATGATACAGAAATACACGAAGGGAAAATTATTGATATGAGTCAAAGACATGTGTCTTTTAGATTTCCCTTTATAAAGCTGACCAATAGCTTTATGTCTTTAAGACAAAGCTATATTGAATCTACTGGATTTCATTTTACGAAATACCACAAGTCTGACTTTGCACTGAATTTTTCTCATTGACATCTCCTCTGCTTCAGTCATTATGGCACAGTACAAAATAAAGCAAATTGAACCTCATAATATATAGTAAAGCTGTTGAAAGAGTCTTAAAAAATACTACTGTTAAGTGGACCAAGTTTTGTGAAGGAGAATGTGAGTTACTGAGGAAGGTAGAGCTCAAAAAACACTGAGAATGTTAACTTTCCACTTGAGAACTTTTTATGTTTTACTGTATTTTTTTTTTTAAAGAAAATAGTATTTACAGATGGCGTAAGAAATATAAAAATATAATGCAGGAATGTATATGAAATGACAGATTTTATTGTATTTGCAAAGTATTAGCTTTGAAAAGAAAGAGGGCTGTTTGTAGTTATAAATGCTTTATTAGTGTATTAGATTTTTTTATGTACTTCAATTTTTTGAGTCTAGAAATATATATTAAAAAGCCAGGACTTTTACAGTGTTTACATACAAATGCATTTTATATGTGTCCTATATGTGTAAATTAGTATTTCAACTGGAAATGCTGCCAGTAGCAATAGCATTATAGCTGTTCCTGGTTCAGATGATGATGCCTACTGTGCTAGACCAGAGTTTTATTACTTTGTATTATGAGGCCAAGATATTTTGTGTTTGTAAATAGAAAATGAGCAATAAACATTTATTGAACAAACAACTTGGTTTGGCCCATAGTTTATGTTAAAATGTTTACTTTCCCTTTTATTTTGAAAAAAATCTTTAGATCCATTGCTCTTAACAAGTTAATAATCACATCATCATTAATAATAGATGCTTCAATGCTTGCACCATTGGGGAGTACTAATGCTTAATAGCAGTCAGATACTGATTGTGTGCACTGACTGTCTCAAAATTTCTATCTAAGTTTCAAGCTGATTCATTATTTTTGTCTTCAATTTCCGACTGCTACTAACCATTAGCCCTTAGTTTTATTTCCATTTTTTTCTTCTTGTTAACCAGTTTTATGGGTGTGGGCTCCTTCACACATTCGAATCATGATACCTAGTGTCATGATTTTGTTGCATTCTGTAGATGGTGTCAATCAGTATGTCAGTATTAAACATGCTTGTTTTTTTATTAGTTGTGATTAGTTTTTTTCATGTTGTCATTAAACAGTCACTAGCTGGAACTAATCTCTTCTCTATCTTTTCTTTCTTTTTTTGTTTTTTATTTTTTGTTTCTAACCACCCAGCCGCCACCGGCAACTAACCTATGACCTTCTGACCTCTGAATTCTTCACCCAATGATGACCTGACCATGCCTGCCTGCTGATCAGTTAACTGGTAATCGCCTCTGCTTGTCTGTCTTTGGTGCAGCGAGCTGAGGCATTTGTCCGTTCGTCTTACCATCTAACAAGACACACAGAGAAATAGTTTTCTTCCACCTCCTTTTTTATTTGTTTTTGGTTTTCATCCCCGGATTGGGCGAAAGTGATTCTAGAACCTGCACTGAATAATAGAAAAGCAATAAGGTCCATTTCAGCCCTCCGCACTGATCATATTTTAATGTCCTAACCAAACGAACGGTCTAAAAGCTTCACCTAGAGTACTGGCAAGACATCTGATCCTCAACTACCAATGACAGAGGCAGTTACTGTGAGAAACTTTTAGGGAACTTTATTTTGTCTTTTCTCTTGTATTGTGAAGTGAGAAGCTGAATGTACTGTGTTGTGATGATGCATCATGCATGAACCTGATTGGTCAGGGATTTTAACTGGTGAAGTTAATTACATATTTAAGAAAATTATTGAAATATAAATTGGTATTTAGTCACTACAGTGCCCTCCCAGGGTCAAAACATTGCAATCTGTTCTATTTGTAATATTGCCTGCCAAATTTGTTACATTGATAAGGGTGCCATGAAAAAATTATAACTTTTTTTAACCTTTAAAAATTATACTGCAACACTGGTATTCAAATCAACTGTTGTAATGCAATTAGCAAAAGATTACTTTTCAAAGCCTCATGTAATATTACATTGGTATAAGGTACATGCATTATGTATCACATTACTGGGCAAAGTGTTTAAGTATTTGTTTGAGACCTCCCTGTATAGAAACAAACATTAAGGATGTAAAAGCCATGCTTGCCTATTGCTATATAATTGTAATGAAATTGTAGATATAAGTGTAGTGCATTGAAAAAAAAATGAACAAAAATTAGATACTTTTACTATACAAGGGTGCTGGTGCAGAGAAAAATATATTTTTGGAAATGTAGCATTTTATACTTTGAAGTGTTATAAAAAAACAGGAAAAAAAACAAAAAAAGAAAACCCTTTTATTGCATTGAATGATTTTTGGTGGTAGTCAAGGAATAAGACCAAAAAGAGCCTTTTGTCTTTTTTTTTCTCCAACTTTTTGTTCTTTTTATTTTCAGCATTGGTATAAGTTAATTGAAAAAAAGTGCCTTATTTTTCTCCATGATCATTTAGTCCAGTGTCTTGTATTTTTTTTAATTCAGGGTCAAGGGGTCTGTAGTTTTTTTTTTGCCAAGCAAGTTTTAAGAGGCCACATTTAATTCGTGAGCACTTTGAGGCATTCTAAAGATTAATCTTGCAAGTCAGTCGCCCAGTATAGTATATATATTAAATATGAAAAATAATCTGTAACACATACTGTGCTTTTGCCAAGATATTTTCAAGTAGCCATTTTTATTTCAACTTAGGAGATGTCAAATTTTGTATTGACTTACGTCTGCATATTTAGATCAATTTTGTAATTTCAGTTGTTTCGCCATAACACTTGGGTGCCATTTTTTTTTTAAAGAAAATTTGGCAATGACCTAGCACATTTTCCATCACATTATCAACTTTCTGTTTCTTATGGAAACTCTGGTAAAGGTCAAGCAGTAAATCTAAAATGTTAAGATTTCAAACACTTTTGCGGTGACCTCATAGTCTATTTCGTCACACTGAAACAAATTAATAGTTATAATTTACTATGCAACAGACATTCATCCTATTCTTTTTAGCAGCTAGCTTTTATTTAACATGCCACCAGCTTTGTCTTCCTGGTCATTTATTATTCTATATTTTGTTTAAATGCATCAAATTTCATCCCTTCGCTGGGAATTGTTTGAACAATTTTGCGACACTTGCGCATTTAGAGAGATCAACTAGTTTTAATATCAGTATTTGATCCAGTTTCATCTCAAGCTGCAATAAACCTGGATATTTTTGTCATTTTATTTTTTTATTTTTTTTTAATAGTGGATAAGGTGCAAGTCTATTGAATAGATATGTGACACTTAATTTGTGAGTGCTATGAACAAACAGATGGGTCAACATTAAAAAAGCATGAAATATGAAATCTCCAAATGCCTTGGATTTCAGTATTATGAATTTTATGTTTTTATCATTTTAGGTAGATTTCAGTCTTTAGTTTTTCCTTTGACAGTATTATCTATATATATATTTTTTTTTTTATTATTATTTAGAATGATTTAGATGGGAGTGTCGCTGATATGTAACCATACAGATGAATTGTATTTGTCTTTTCTTTATTACCTTTAGTAGTTTCATGCTATGTATGTATCATGCCAACCTATTGCCTAAAAGAACCTGTAAAATAATGTATTTACAGCCATTGTTACAAGTTTATAATGTATTTTTCTATCTTGTTTTATATGTATGTTATATAACATTCAAAAGGAGTTTTTCCTGGTTGAGAAAAAGGATACAAAAATGTAAAACCCACGATTTTGATAACTAAAACAATGCCAATTGTTTTGCAGTACTTTATTATATTGGGAGTGTTGTCTTTCTTGGCTTTTAGTTAGCGACTGGATGACATTAGACATTGGGTTTTAGTTGGGTTTTTACATGGCTTGCATTTTAATTCTTTGGTTCTTTGCTGTTTCTATTAACCCCATAGCATTATTTTAATAAATGTTATAATACCAAGATACTAACTTTGGACTTTGTCTGTTTATTAACATTCTATGTTTCATTAAAATAAGATCTACAAAGAAAACAAGAATGTAGTCTTGAGTTACAGGACTAACACTGAAGAGCGTGACCACAGATAACCCAGCGTTACTTGTTTTAATATTGTTTGTCGCCTGACATTCTGCACACTACTTTAAAAGTAGCTATGGTTAATATGGCCTGATGCCTTGCCAGCAAGTGATAGTAGAGATGGGAACAAAATATTATTTACCACACCAGGCATTTGCTTGTCCCTTGGCTTCACAGCATCTGCATTACTAATGCCACACTTCCTTCTTGTTCTTCAGATAATCAGCTCTCTGCAAAACCAAAAGGTTTTCACAGTTTCTTAAAAACGCTCACTGCAGCATTTTGTTGGCATCTGAAATTTGCACGACAAGGAAATAATTATTCTTTGCTCCTAATTATTGGAAAATAAGTTGTCGCAGTTCACCAACCTCTATAGAATGTTGCTACCTAACATACTTTAATTGTGATACATAACTGGCATAGTTCCCTACTAACCAGAACCTTTGGATCTGTTTTAAAAAATAAGTTTCTGTAATTATAGAAAGTACCCTTACAGTGCTTTACCAGTAACACTAAAGTGTTGACACCGGAAACGTTCATTATAATCTATATTATTGTGGTCTTAATGGGGACAACGCACATGCTGTTTTTCTAGGCAGGAAAAAACATGGAGAGGCTAGAACAGGTGTGGGCATAACATAGAGTTAGCCAGAAGGTGCCTTTAGAAATGCAGAGCATTAACTAGTTCGTCAGGAATGTACTGTTGCACTTTCAAGCTGAAAGAGTGATGATATTCCCAGAACACCAGCTCTCCTGTTGCAAAAGACACCATTGGGGGCCTAGTGTAATACACCCAACACCTGGATGAAAAAATGGAGCCCTGGTCAGATAGGCTGTTGCCACTGTATTCATTTAGGTGGTTCACTTTTAGAAGAATGTAGTTTTTAAAAGAAAATTTTATCTGTTGCTCATAGCAAAATACCAGATCATTCTGTGCATTTTAGAGTGGAGTTTTGAATTGAATACATACTTTTAGTCCCTCGTGTGATGTGATTACTGTTTTGCTGGCATTTAGTATAAAAAACATGAATCATGTCTTGGAGAAAAAAAAATACAAGACACACAGACATGCACATGTTTTTCTAATCTACGTAAAGAAAATAAGGAGACATGCACATGTTTTTCTAATCTACGTAAAGAAAATAAGGAGACATGCACATGTTTTTCTAATCTACGTAAAGAAAATAAGGAGACATGCACATGTTTTTCTAATCTACGTAAAGAAAATAAGGGCTGCAATTGGTATGGTTTGGGCAAATATTTAAAAACTTTGTTAATAAAAGACAGACTGTAGTTTGAAACATCTGTCATATTTGCTGCATTTCCCCCTTAATTTATAAAGCCTGCACACTGATCATAAATATATTTAAAAAATGTATATGTATATATAGTTATAGATGTGTGTGTTCTAGGTAAGAATCCTTACACAAAATAACATAGGTTTGCCACTATGTGGGATTGTGCACATTTAACATTAATGAATATTGGTGCTTTTAAATGATTGTTTTAAACTGGTTTGCAGACCTTTTTTTTTATGCCTAGCACAGCCAGATGTGTTTTGGTCCTTGAAATTCATCTGGGGCCACTAGTAATGTTTTACACCAGTGTATTTAATATCGGTTCCTAAGACACTGTCATCAAGAAACCCTTTTCAGGGTGCACACATAAATAAAATGTTTACAAGGGGCTATTGCCGATACTGTGCTTGCTATAGAAATTTATATGACTTTTGTCAGTAACAGCGATGTAAATATTTTCTCTCTGCCCTCTCCAGAACCACCATGGTGTTGGGTTGCTCCCTGTGAAGCCTCCAATGCTATGAGAGTGACCACAGGGAATAGGTTTTCTGCCTGTGTCAAGCATCTGAACTCACTGCTGTCACAGATCATATGCAGGCAGTTTCTCACACAGCCTCAGGCATTGAATGGCAGCAGCCAGTAACCTTGTCGACGTCAGGGCATTCTACAGAAAGCCTCTGACACTTAATAGACCTGTAGTTTTCTTAAACCATTTTTTTACTAACCAAAGGCATAAAGAACTGGTCTAGCAAGGGCAGGATCCGTAAGTGAATTTTAATGTGAGCAGTCTAAAAAGGGTTACCTGATGACCTTTTTTTAAGAACTTAAAGCAAAACCCTGGGTAAAAAAAATGGATTAACTCTTGCAGTTGGGCTACCCCTGCACTGCAAGGGTTAAGTGCTTGTTTTTGTCTAGGTTGAAAAATAAAGATACTGTATATGACCCCAATCCTCCCAGTCATCTGGCTGTGACCGCGCTCCCTCCTGCCTGTCTCCTCCTCTGCAGCGATTGGTTTATCCATCGGCATCCTCACATGAGTCGGGGACCTCAGACCTCTGCAGCAAAGGGGTAGCGAGGTGGAAGGGAACAGTCTAAGAGCAAATCGGCTGGTAGGATCAGGTGAGTATAACTGTTTTTGAACAGAGACAAAAAGGAGCATTTGACCCTTGCAGTGCATGGGGTAGCCCCACTGCAAGGGTTAAGAAAAATTTTACACGAAGTTCTGCTTTAATGAATTTTATGTGAGGGTAGCATTCCTTTTCTGCTAAACACAAAGTACTTTATATATAAATCTTAGGATAATCCAGTGCATTAGTTATTCATAATAGCTGTGAGCCTTCATTTGGAAAATGGCTGGAATGTGCACACTTACCCGAGGTTTTGCCCTCCCTGTTTTTATACAAAATCCACTTGGAAAAAAAACATGGAATAGTACTTTCAAAACATTTGCAACGTTATGGTCTGTTATATTATAATGTTACTCTGTAGCTGGGGGTGACCTACAAATTTAAGGTGATGTGCTTACAAAGGAACAAACTCTGTGTCAACAAAATATAGATACCAATGATGATAATGCAAATGTATATAATCTTGGTGGTTAGTGTTTTTTTAAAGGAATGGTACTTCAACTGCTTAAACATGATTCCCAAAGGTCTACTTTAGTAACAGACAAAAAAAATCGCTTTTATGACTGAGAATCAAGATAACCTATCATCAAATTGTTTAGTGTTAGGTCACCTTTAGACTTAAAAGGACATCCAATTGTGGAGATACAATCAGATTGCTCACAGGTGCATATTTGAGACACACGCAGAGCTTGATCAGTAAACGTAAACACAGGACTGTCTTTGCTGCTTGTCCAGAGTGATGGAGTAGGGAGAGACCAAGGCACTGATCCAACTTCAAAAGCTTGCATTTGTATATACCTGCCTGTGTAACTATTGCCCAAAAAAGTTTTAAGAAAAGCACTCCGAAGGTAATTTTTGTGTGAATGTTGGTTTTTGCACTTTGTGTTCTTCTACAACCTTGTCAAGATATTTTCATTTTATTTTGTTTGTCTGCCATAACTACATATCATGAATTTGAGAGTAATCTTCCACTATACTGTAACACTAATGATGATGGAGAGATCTGCTCATACACCTATGTCTGTAATGGGCAAGTGTATTTTTACACAACCAGAAAGGTTCACCAAAATAAGCATGCTAGCCAGGGGCTTATAATACACATAGATCACAAACATGATAAAGTACCCCACAAACAGCTGAATTGCAATTTTAAAAAAAAATAGATTTTTATTTGAAAAACCGCAAGAAGCACGTGCAAAAACATTATAGAAAACAATGGTTCGCCTATTACACAAATCGCACCACATCTATAGCAATAGAAAAAAAAAGAATACACCAGTGTGGATTACCTAGGTCTGATTATAATTACGTAAATAACAGTACACAAAATAATCTAAACATGAACAGTGTTAGTAAGGGGATACTATCACAAGAGCAAAAAGCCTTACTGGCTCAGAGATATGCACGACTGAAACGGGAATACAAAATATATTGTATCTGAAACCTGACATTTCAAGCATTGCCAGAGGAATGTCCTCATCAAAAACATTCTCTTTAAAAAAAAAAAAAAGCCACCATGTCGTGTAGGTTTTCGGGGTAGGGAAGGAATAGTGAAATTTGGGGATTTTCTCACTCCATCTCAGATTTTGCAGTATCCCTGCCCTTTTAGACCGTTATTAGCTAAATGTTCCTTTCCAGTTTCTGGGCCTAACAAATTGACTTCCTTTACTGAGCCGTACATAGTCTGAGAACAGGCAAGTTATGCATTTAGCATGCTCATGTTCCGGGAAGAAGATATCCATTTTACTGCAGAGGCGCACCCAGTCATCTACTGTAGAGAAAAAGTTTTTTAATTAGTCATTATTTTGTTTTGACCAACTTTGTCAGATTACCCTAATGAGAGCAGGATTGTACCACACATACTGTCCCATGGAAAGAGCTTTGATACAATTGAAGCATTGGAAGGCAGTTAAGGAAACAACCAGTTTAGTAAAATATAGAATTGTCAGATCACAGATGCAGTGGATCATTCTCTTATGGTGATGAAACTTATAAAATACCAAAGAACCAGGATAAATTACTTTATGCTGCCTGAAGACAAATTCCCCAGTGAAAGCTCTTATTGGCTGTAAAAGGCCCAAAAACTTGGGCCATCTCGGTATTGTGGCTGTAGAAGTATTCAAAATGTATGGGTTGCCTTTGTAATAATACTTGAATATGCTGCAGACACCAAGGTAAGCAGTGGAAATACTGAAGATACCATGGAGGCCAAGTTAATGTGGACTAACTAAGGACTAACCTTAAAGTACCTAAATGATATTATCCTGTTCAGAATTGTGACACGGGTGATAAAGGGTTCCAGGTTCAAGTACACAAGTCAATAAGCAAAATGTAGTCTATCAACTAGCTGTGGTCAGCATTAACACTGCAGGCATTGTGACATGTTTGAAGCAGGGATCCAGGTTGAAATACAGAAGTCAATAAGTAAAATATAGGACTGTGATCTAGCTGTGGTCAGGTTTGGCAATG